GCACCCAAAATCTTGTCGTACTTGCCCGCTCCACACGTCTTCAAAAACATGCTTCCTTAAGAGGGGTAGGACGCACGGGCGGGCGCTGTTTTTCGGACATACCCTGATTGGACACTCACGTTATTCCGCATGTAGCGACAGGAACGCACCTCTCGTTTTTGCAAAACCTATGTCCATGGCCTCTTAAGGGGAGAGAGACCAGGGGGGGGATTATGTAATGGGCAAATGCTGGGAATAGGAGGGCAATGTAAGTATAAGGGTGGTGTGGGGATATGTGTATATATATATATACACATGTATATACACATGTATGTATAAATATAAATATATACAAGAGGTATATAGGGATGATACACAGTACTTCCCCCCCGGTAACTGTCCTAGACTGTGCGGGGAGAAACCCCACAATTGCCTGAAAGGAATCTAAGAGGCCTGAGCTACGAGAGGAAACAGAAAGCCGGAGCTTTCAGCCCGAAACCGTAACTCTAAATGGGCTATAGTCTAAGCTGAATAAAAGGGGTCTATACAAGGGATTATTTAGGGTTTAGGGTCTAAGCTCCTTAGGGGTTTATATAAGGGAGTATATAGACTCCTTAAGCGGGGTTCTATAAGATATTATATAGGGGAGTACTATAGGGGTTACTAAGGGGGATGCTAAGAGTTCAGACTATAGCTCAAATCCGAACTTGTGCGCCGCAATGCAAGGACGAACCTGCAACTGTTGTGCAAGTTTCCGCGTTTTCGGCAGCGACTGGTCCACGAGGGCGTTTCTTTGGATGACAGTTCCTAATCTGATGTGAGAGTATGTCAGTATTCGGGAAACGTGGGTTGCGCCAGCAATATTGTAGTTTCCAAGATTCAGGCGGCCGTTATATGCTACATAACCATACTACAAGGATTCCCAAAAGGGGACATCATTTTTTGAAAGCTCCCAGATACGGATTGTCAAGGTCTAGGCAGTTGAGCTCGACACCTATGAAAGACTTGACTGGAATCTAGACCTTTACCACCCACCACTGAACCCTACCCCCAAGCCCTCGACCTTTTGACCCTAAACCCACCCTCCCCATCCCCGTAACAGCCTTGTACCTTCGTGATGCCTTATTAGCATCTGCACAGGAGGGAGAACCAACCTAGGCGTCTTCAACCCAAAGCTGATGCTGCACACCCCAAACAGTCTAGAGACCTGACTTGCGATCAATGGGGGGAGCGGATAATTTTCACATCCAACACCCTAGACTCGACTAAACTCTGCAAAGCTCTAGGCCCCTAAACCCTAAATCCTAGATCCTAAACCTTAAGCAAATCAGGTACTAAGCTGGACCGACCCATGGATGTTCAGCTGGTTCTACTTCCTTGGGCAGCATCTTCTGCGGAGTGACTAGGACGCGCTTGGCTCAGGGGCGAGCAAAACGGACATGGACACTACTACCATTGGTTTAGGGTTTAGGCTTTGGTGATTAGATAATAGGGTTCAGGGATTGATATTGGAAATTATCCCTAAACCTAAACCCTACCAATATTGGTAATTATTTAGGCCCCTATATTGGGGTTTAGGGTTAGGGTTTAGGGTTTGGGTTTGGGGGATTGGGATTGAAGTTCAGGTTGAGGGTTATCAGCATGTTTAGGGTTTCGAGGTTCAGGCCTCAAGACTGATGCATCCACTGTGTAAAGTTTTCTCGGGCTCACAGGGATCCTAAACATGCAGCTTCGAAACTAGAGCTTACTGGTGGTTTTGTGTGGTTTTGTGGGGAAGGAGAGCATGGATCCCCACAGTAGTCCCAATGTAATGCTGTATACTAATTAGCCTATATCCCGGTCATTGAATCTCCGCTAGCCGCCAGGGTTTGATTGTTGAGGTCAAAATTGTGCTTTGAGAAGCTGTTGCTGACTAAATTGTCAGCAGTTTTCAGGGAAGCCTGACCCTATGCATTTGAGGATGTTTGGATGTCGATTGCATGTTTTAGCTCCATCACTATCGTTTCCACAGCCAGAAGCTTAAGACCCAAGAACCAGGTCAAGTGATGAATTCACTGAAGCTGTTGCACATGGCCGCGTTGATGAGGTGGAGGCAAATCAGGGATGAGAGGCTGACGCTTTAGCGGGCCTTTTTTCTAAATATTGTGGGTTCAAGCTTTGAGTTCAAGATGCATACAGTGCATGAGGCGTTCGGCTCAGACGGGTGGATGGAGGCAACCCGCATCACTTAGGATCCCCAAAGTGCTGCAATTCATGGAGTAAAGGGTATGCAGGGTGCAAGATCTTCTTTATGCAAAGTAGAGCCTGAGATCAGGACCATTTTGCAGACTCGACTTCGCTGCAGGAGTGGTGGTCTTTGAATCCTGGGTATAGGAAGGGTCTGATGTGTCTTAGTACTTGCTGAGGCAGATCTTTGCATTGCCTTCACAATGTGTGCTTGAGGGTGAACTCCTGCTTGGAAAGCACTGTTGAAGGTAGTGATGGCCCCTAAACCCTAAACCCCTAAACCCCTAAACACTAAACCCTAAACTTTTATGGCAGCATCTCTATGGAATGCCTTCATGATACAGGTCCACCTACAGAACGGCAAAGATCCGAATCTGATGGACACAGCTGGTCGGCTTCCCTTGGGCCTGGCGCCCGACGCTGATGCCTGGCTCTTTTCAGGCGTTTGGAAAGTTAGGTAGATATATCATGAACTTATGGTGTAATATTTGGTTACATAGGGGTTGTGTAGGGGTTATATGGCAGTGTCTAGGTCTAGGGGTTGCAGAACTAGTTTCCAACGACCTGTAGGTTCCAGGGTGTGGTTGTTTCAGGGATATAGAAGGTTGGCAGGGCTTGGGGTCCAGGGTCAGGGGGCCCCATATCAAAGCCCGACATTTCTTGGTCCCAGTTTGGGCCTCTTCAAGCGTGATGCAGAACAAGTTTTTGCTGTTGTTGGTGCCAAGTATGGCAGTGACTTTGCCATGTCTAGGATATGTAAGATTTCCACAAGTATATGGCGGGGGCAGACAAGGGAGGTATGGGTGTGAAGCCCTCATTTCAGTGGCTCTCCTTCCTCCAATGTTCCTCTGCGTTAAGGAACTTTTTTTCGTCTCCCAGCCTCGTAAGTCCGACAGGGTTGAACTTTTCTACGCATTTAAAAAAATCATTAGGGTCAGTGTCCAAGCCCGGCATCAGTGTTGTCAATAGACAGCTTTAACCGGGAAGCCTATACACTATGGGTTACTGCCCGCATAAATGCCCCAGCAGAGACCAACGCAGGATAGCTTGGCCAGGTGATTGTATTGTAGTAAGCAGGCATGTGCGGCGGATACCAAAGGTCCTACCAAGGGTAAAGATTCTCTCAGAAGCTCGTAACGCGCCCTGTTCTCATGACACAAGATCCTGAACTCGCGGGCTCCCGAAGGGGTCTTTGGTTTTCTAGAGACCCCCAAAAGCTACAAGAGATTACACGAGCAAACAACCAAGGACATTGCATTTTTGCTGCTGGAGGCTGGCGCGGACAAAGATGCAGTTGACAATGTTGGGCAATCTGCTCTCATCGGTGCAGCGCGCGAAGGCCGTGTTACAATGTTGCAAATCATATTGATACAGGAGGTGGTAGTTGCAGTAGTAGCAGCACGAGCAGGAGAGAAGAACTACCAGAAAGGCATCTGGGCATAAAAGCATTGTAATCGGCAACAGCACTAGTGCAGACACGAGCTCCCCGGTACAGAGCACAGAATCACTGGAACCAGAATCGCCGTGACAGCATTTCCCTGAGGGGGATAGCCTGTGAAGGTCATGCTGATGTAGTGCGCACGCTGTTGGAAGTAGGGGCTGCTGCAGATTTGGCGGACATGGCCGGCTGGACAGCCCTAACAATCGCATCGGCACAAGGGCGCCTGGAGATTGTGCAGTTGCTGCTGGAAGCCGAGGCCGACAAAGACTTGGCCGATGATCTGGAATGGACATCTCTTCTTCATGCAGCACATCGAGGCCATGATGCAATTCTGCGCCTGCTCATGTCGACTGCTGAGTTCTACGACGGCCGAGGCTGTTTAGGCTGGACACCGCTGATAGCTGCAGCACGCCGTGGGCACGAGGAAGTGGTACGTTTGCTGTTGAATGCCCGGGCCGACAAAGACCTGGCAGACAACCGGGGCAAGACTGCTCTATATGGGGCATGCTACCGGATCGCAGCTGAGCATTCAAGTTTGCCAATGCCTACGTAAACCGAAGAAGGAATATAGAATGCATTACATTTTTGAGTAGCGGGCTACCGCAAGAGCCGGCACATGCTCGCATCGTGCGAGCAGTGCTATTACTATTATTCTTATTATTGTTACTATGCGTATTAGTACTATTCTTATTCCTAGTATTCTTGCTATCATTATTGCTACTGTTATTGTTGTAATTCTTGCAAGAGCCATCCAGGTTACAGGGCACATACGCGCGTGGTGCGCATATTGCTTGCAGCCGGTGCCAACCCCGATCTGGCGGATGATGACGGTCAAACCGCCCTGCAGGCGACAATCCAAAGCCATCTGGGCATTGCGGTGTCTTGTGTGAGAAGGACTACCAGATTTTTGCGGATCTATATTGGGATCCCCTCAATTAGGGAAGCTACCAAAAGGGGTTTGGGGTTTTATTTATTTCTTTCATCCATGTTTCTTTTTTTTGGGGGGGTCCCTGCTTTGTCCTGTAGGAGATAGAATGCTGGCAAGACAACTTCTTTGTTTGCTTGAAGTTACAAAGTAAGGAGTTCGTAACAGGGCGAGAAGATGAAGCGGATCGTACCCTGGACTGAAATAACACTCTGGATGGGGGTTTAGGGTTTAGGTTGCTTTTCCTCGCCTGGATGTTGGCTGCATTCATTCAGCAACATTCATGGCCTCTCCCGAAGGCTAGCATCGACACCCTGCACGAACTGTCACAGTCATGTCCCCTGCCCTTTCTCCAAACCCTTAACTCTGAAGGGTGCTGTTACGCGGTTGCGGAATGGCCGAGGTATCCGGGACTCCGAGCATTCCTGCATGACCACTCTGGGGATGCTGTCCACCGGATCTAGCCTCAAGAAATGCTTTTAACGGATTCGTGGTTTACAGCTTGAGTCTTTATGGTGGAGTATGGCAAGTTTTTTTTTTTTTTTTTACCTGGAGGGTATTTTTGTTGCCGCGAAATGGAGACCAAAGCCCTCACGCCTTATAGAACCCAACTCGCTTCTTTTAGAAACCCTGGCACCTGTACTCACCCCCAAGAGCAACCCAGGCTAAATGCCAGTGCCGATGCTAACTTGGCAGACAACCAGGGCCTCACTGCTTTGCATGTAGCATCCAGCCAAGGCCCGGTTGGAGGTAGACCTCTTCCTCGGGGCTTAGGTAAGGTTTGGAGTTTAGGGGTGTTGAGGATGCAGGGGTTTAGGGGGTTTGGAGATGTGCGGTTTAGGGGGCTCGCCTTTTTGGAGGCTATACCGGCTTTTAGACTTTGGGATTTAGGATGTTGTGTCCGTTTTGCAAGATGCGGCAAAACGCTTTGTGCTTGAACTAGCTCAAAATTCAAACCGAGGGGTTGCAGGATCATGTGTTAGGTCAATCCCCATTAATTACAGTAATAAGCAGCCCGTAAATACCCAGTACTGTGTGGGGGATTGACCCAGATCATGTGTGCTATTGTCCAACATTAGCCCTCTTATAGTTTAGTACGGTCCCTAAAGTAGTCCCTAGCAAGGAACCTAGGTCCATTAGATTGTGTAGGAAATATACCCAAAACCCTAATTCCTAAACCCTAAGCCCTTTAGATTATGTAGGCAAAGTTGAGTGCAGCTCATGTGACCAAAGCATGGGGTTCTGTGGGAGTCCTGCTTGAGGATGGTACATTTAGGGTTTAAGGTTTAGGGGCGTTGTTTCAGAACCTCTCATTTTGCGGTCTTGGCATCCCTACCTAAAGATATCAAGTAGATACCCTGTAAAGCCTAGACCTGAAACCTCAAGCACCCAAGTCTCAACCCTAAACGCTAAACCCTAAACCACGATTTTGGGGAGGTTTTGCACAGAGAATCTTTGACTCGGAGGGGTTGGGACAGTAAAAAAAAACGTGCTGCACCAGGAGGACCAGGGATGCCTAGCATTAAGGGTTAAGGGTTTAGGGTTTAGGATAGTTAGGGTTTAGGGCTTAGTGTTGGCACAGTCAAGAAGCAATGTGAGTCTCACTTACAGCCCGAACCAGTTAAACTTTAGGGCCTAAAATCCTCAAACACAAGTTTCTGGATGTTACACTCCAACCTACTCGAGCCAAGGGTCTCCAAATTGGAGAAAGAAGGAGTTGCACGGAGTCTTGTAGGATTTCGCTTGGTAGATCTGATGAAAGCCCCCATGCGGACGATAATCTCAATAAAGTTCACAAGCTTTTCCACTGTGACTTGTACATGATTTTTTCAGCTGCCCATACCAAGGTTACCCTAGACTAGAGTCCCCTGCCAGGGGACATTACGGGTGGATAGGGATTTGGTAGCGTAGTGTAGTCCAGAATATATTCCCTAATAGGAGCCCATGTCCATGAATTTTATGGGACATATCAACCTCCAGAACCCTCTAGATAATCCCAGTTTCCTTTTCATGTTCAACGTTTTTCCCAAAGCACGCTCGAGCTGCGTCCAATTTCCATTTGATTTTCCATCATAGTAGTTTCTATTTCTTATCTGGAAATATTGGCTGCAAGCTCATCTGGAGTGTGCTTGATTACCCCAAACCCTGAACCTTAAACCCTAAATCTTAAACCTTAANNCCTGAACCCTGAACCCTAGACCTTTAGCTCATCTGGAGTCAGTTTGATTTAAGAGCTATGCCAGGCTGCCTCCTGATCATGTCCCTGCTGCTTCAAGCGAGCTTTGGCACCATCAGCTGGGCTTTTGAGGTTCCAGGAGCGTATAAATGGAAACTACTATAGTAT